TCAACGTCGGAGATGCAGATGGGTTTCGCTCAGAGGCAGGCGCGACACTGATGACGTTACCAAGGCTATAAAGTGTCGTGATAATGGCATCTTGAGGGAGAAGACTGAGGACTGCAGCGAGTGATTCTGCAGCCACTGAAGTCGTTCGGTGGTCAAAGTTGGCTTGAACAATGACTCGAGGCAGCGATTGCCCCAAGGTAGATGCGAGTTGCGGTGAGACCTTGGCCAGAATAGCCATGATCCTCAAGACTGTAGACGCAAGCTCATGGTCCGAACTCTGGGCAGGGTCGTTGAGCACATTGTCCAGCCAAGAAGTCAGTATTTCGGCATCAGTAATGTCTGTATCGTTGTCATATACGGTACAGCAGAGGTATGTAACAAGCACCTTTGCCTTGACCGATGATGCCTGTTGCTGTTGCCAAGCAGATCCGACCCGCTGGAGGTATTCAAGATCATTCTCCAGGCGTTCCATCTCCTCCACTGCAATTTTAGCCAGTCCCTCAGCTAAAGAATTCTCGGCTGTGGCCTTGAGATGCAGGCGGTCTTTGTTGTCTAGCCAAGTCTGTAGGTGGTTCAGAACAGAATCCTGCGAAACCAGACGTCGGCTGGTGCCAACAAGCTGCGAAGCTGAAGCAAGCACGAGCTTTAAGAATGAGTCGTGCAGAACCATGGCTCCAAGTGGTCGTCCAGTGGCGGCATAATGCTTGGTGTAGCGCTTCCATTCTCGCAACTCGTGTTGGTGTGAATGTGCGTTACGCACAATAGACAGGACAGTCTCAAATGCAATCAGAAACTTCTCTGTCAAGTTTGTGCGTACATTCTGGACGAGCTGCAGACTATCGTAGGCATTCCAGAAATGAACATGCTCTGCCGAAGCATTCAAGAAACCTAAGAGCGAGAGACTATGTGTCATGACCCGCGCCAGCTCGCCATCTGCACCAAAGTCGTCCTTTCCATCGTCGACAAATTGCTGTTCCGACAGCTGGACAGCTGCTGTGGCCCAGCCCGTGACATAACCTTGAAGCGCGACGGCGGCCTGTGTTTGTAGCTGTTCATGTCGGAGGCCAAGCGAAAGGACGGCAGACGTAAGGTTGTAGGTGAGGACTTCATAGGGAGCGGGCTCGATGATGCGGAGGCTAGGCGACGGCGCGAAAGTCTGAGTATAGGACGTGGTGAGATAGGGTGAGAGGCGGGAAAGTAGCTTCTCGGCAACGTCAAATGACTCAATGTAGGGTGCGGACTTGCAAAGTGCCAGGATCGCCTCCAGTTCCTGCAGCTTCATGGAGGTGGATGCGTTGGAGAATCGCTTAAACATCTTACTGTAGTCGTCTTTGGTCGTCTCTGGCGAGGTTGCCTGCGCCGACAGACGGGCAAGCTTCTCGAGCGCATGGCTGCGAATTGTACGCCTGATGATTTCAAATTAGCTGCTGGTATTCCTCGAAAGATGGCTTGATGCTCACGCCATGGTAGCAAAGCCTTGCTCGGTGCTGAGCGAAGAGCGTAGAGATGGCAATGACATGTCCCTGGACAAGTGACGAAACAAATGTCAGGGTCCGGAGCTGCCTGCGCCCTGATTGGAGGCTGGCCCCTTCCCCACGGCAGCCGCTCCATCCAACGTTCATCTTGAGCTCCAATGACTCGCAATACAGCAATACGTTTCTTGTAGTAGAAAATGATCATTGTTTCATTGTTAGAACAAATAGGTCAGGAAACAGAAACATGGCTGCAAAAACGCTGCAACCCTCGGGTGACTCTCTCCACAACCGCAATGCCAAAACGCCATGCCAAAGGAGCAATCGAACCTAGAAAACACCTTCAAATGCATTCAGCGCCGGGACAATCAGGTTTGCTGCTCTCAATCGTCTGCAGGCTCAACCCTTACAAGCACCTCTTCCAGGAATCCCTCCAAGAACCCAGCCACTTCTCCCCCCATACCCACTTCCCCCTTTTCATCCCATCCATCCAGCTCGCTGAACTTGCCCTTTATCTCGTTCACAAGCCTGACCACCTTCTCATGACATTCCTGCCTTTGCCGTCTACGCTCAATGAAACCCTGTGGGTCGTCTAAGGATTGCGCAGACTCCTGCTTGTTCTTGAGATTGAGATGATACGTCCGCCGCGAGAGCGCAGCGTCAAGCGCCGGCATAACAACTCCACTTAGCGCCGTGATTTCGGCGGGTGCTGCGGGTGAGCCCGGTGCTTGAACCGGGTTGGAGTGGTTGCTTGTAGGCTTAGCACGGCCAAAGGACCCACGGGACATGGGCGGCGGTTTGCTAGAATGTGGTGGAGGCATTGGAGGTGTTGATTCCATGCCTTGTGCTTGTTCCGCTGGTGGTTTTCTGTTGGACGTAATCGGACTGCCAAATGGATCCTTTGACGTCGCTGAGTCAGTCCGCACGTAGGAGCCTGGACTCAGTGGTGCGAACGACTGTTGGGATGGCGGAAGCGGCTTCTGTCCGGACAGGGCAGGTAGGTTGTGTGCTCGAATGGGGCTTTGCAGCAGCTTTGGCAGCTGACTGACATGTGAGCTGCTCCCAGAAGGGCTTGTCGACTGTCCGCGGAACGGTGGAATCTCTGGTATATCCATTTGTGGCAGAACTGAAGCTCGACTCGGTGTCGGTATTCGTTGCTGTGGAGTGATGTCCATGTTTTTTAAATCTGCGGCTATCTCACGTTGGATGAAATCATCAAATGTGTGCTGTAGTGGCGTTTGCCGCCTTGGCTGTTGAGGAGCCTGTGATTTGGTGGGCGTGACTAGCCCTCTGTTTGATGTTGGTGAAAAGAGGCCAGGCACAGGCGACTTCCGCGGAAGCTCCGAGGCTGGCTGTGGGAAGAGTGGGATTTGCTTCTTCTCTGGGGATGGTGGTAGTGGTACTCTCGCTGCGGTTCTCACCGATGCTGCAGATGATGAGCCATTCGTCTGCAATGGTGCCAATCGTTTGCTAGGGGAAGGAAGCTGACTCTCCCGAATTGTGTCGTCGTTTTCGTCACCGTAACCATTCTTGGCTTGGGAAACAGGTTTGCGTTGGGCATTCGTGCCAGATTCGTTCATTTGGGCGAGGGCAGGCCCCCGACCGCCACCCACCGGCCGTACGGTGCCAAAGTCCCACAAGTCTTCATTGACTGGCTCTTTTCTCTTGACAGGCGTAGCTTCGTCATCCGATTCGGCTGCTTCCTTTGGATACCTAACCTTCCAGTCTTGGTACCTGGAGATGAGCTCTTGTAGACGTGCAGGTTTTCCAGCTTTGCGAATGAAGTTTGTCTGAAGAAGTTGTTTTGCACTCGGTCGTTCCCTAGGGTCTTTTCGGAGACAAAGGTCGACAAATTCCTTGAAGGCAGGCGAAAAGTTGCCTTGCAGTGTGGGCGGTGGGTTTTTGGGGATGAGAAAGAGAACCTTCATGGGGTGAATGTCGGCGTAAGGGGGCTCGCCGTTGGCCAGTTCGAGTGCAGTGATACCAAGAGACCAGATGTCAGCTTTGCCGTCGTAACCAGACTGCTTGATCACCTCGGGTGCCATCCAAAAGGGGGTGCCGACAAAGGTATTCTTCTTCGTCATGGTGGCCGAAAGCTGTCCCGAGACACCAAAGTCAGCGAGCTTCACTTGCCCATTTGCCCCAACCAGTATGTTTGCCGCTGCAAACTGTTAGCAGTCTAGGCGAGATTACTGAAAGCAAACAGAAACAAACGGAGAAAAAAAGTCTTTGTTCAACCTACCCTTGATGTCTCTGTGCAGCTTGTTATCGTCGTGAAGATAGCTGAGGCCCATGAGTAGTTCCTTCAGGATGACAGCAATCTCGGCCTCTGCTATGATGCCTGGTTTCATGAGGTCTGCGCAGCTCCCGCCAGAGCAGAATTCCATGACGATCCATAGGTCGGTGCCAGCCAGGTAGGAGCCGTAGTACTTTGTGACGTAGGGCGAGTTCATGCCGGAGAGAATCATGATCTCGCCCATGATGTCGTCGACCTCGTCCTCTGCATTCTCGACGTCAATGACCTTGATGGCGACGGTATGGCCGGTCCGGCGGTCGAGGCCTTTGTAGACCTTGCCAAAGCTGCCGCCGCCTATGCATTCCTGCTTGGTGTAGAGCGTGTTGGGGTCGACCGATTCGTTGGCGCCTACTTCGGCCGCCATGGTGTTGCTGGACACGGGGGGGTCGGCGCAGGCGGGGTCGGGGCGAGACAGAGCGGGCGACGTGCGCGCGCGAGGGTTCTAGCTGGGGGACAAAAGCGAGCGACTGGTGGTGGTGCAGCGAAAGAGCGGTCACAGCGAAGCGACAGGACTGAGCGTCAAAGGCCAAATCCAAGGCGACGTCGCGCCTCGCGGAATCGGCTTTGGCGGGGCCAGAAGCGAGTGCTGGGCGGGCCAGTGAAGATGGACTGGCAAGGCAAAAGAGAGAGAGAGAGAGAGAGAGAGAGAGAGAGGCCAAAGGGCAGTGTTGGGTAAACACGGATTGCGAGGGCAACGGCGGCGGCGGCGAATGGTGGGGGCGATGGCCGTCGGTGGTGGGCGTCGATGTGACTGACTGGCGATGCGAAGGAGAGACAAGACAGCACAGCAAGCACAGCACAGCACAGCACAAGCGCACCGGGCGGCCTCTGGACGCGCGAGGAGAGGCGTGGTATCAATGCCCGAGTGGATGCCAGGCTGGGCTTCGCTCGTCTGTGTGTGGATGCATGCGTCCATGTATCCAAGCCCATGTCTCCGCCGCGTTGCCCAGCCTGTTTGTTATCTGCCGTTGTCATGGAGGGGGGATGCATGCCCGGCCTGTACAAGGATGCTGCGTCGCGTAGTATGTATGTAGTCATGATACGCCTGTCTTTTCCTTCTCCCCGTCCCCGCGAAAACAACGAATGAGTGGCTGCGGGCATGCAACAGTCGGTCGTCTCGGTCGTCGCATCGCGTCTTGTCCACGATATGCTGCCAGCCAGTCGTCTCCACTGCGCCATGTATCCGTGGAACCAGCCGTCTGAAGCGGCGGCCCATTGCCCAGCATGATTGGAGCACACTTGTTATTATACTACTACTACTACTACTACTACTACTACTACTACTACTACTACTACTACTACCCCTTCACCCTCATGCAAATCAGGCATGCTGGCAGCGATCACTCCTGACGTCATCCGTCTGACCCGCAAAGTAAACAATATACATTTCGTATACATACGCCATCTACGCCAAGCTATGTGGGATGCAGCACAGCGCACAGTCCATGCTCTCTTCCACACTCTCTCACTAAAATTGGGTATCCATTTGTTGCGGCCGTCATCTCAAACCATGAAATCGTATCCGCCATGGTGCCCCGAACCATTGACAAAAACGAAACACACAAACAAAAAACTCCTGCTGACAAGACAAAAGCAAAAATAACGATAAAACAAACTCCACCAGATGCCCAGGTCCTTCCAAAGTCTTTATTCATTCGCATCAGAAACGTCTGCGTATCCGCTCCGCAAGCGCCACGTCTTCCTCGCTCTCCTCCTCCACCGGAGCTGGCGTTCTCCTCTCACGCGCCCGATGGGCTTTTCGTCTTCGGTTGTTGCTGACATTGCTGGCCGAATCGTCAGGTCCAATCTCGCTCTTGAGATCGTCGATGCCTTCGTCAGCGTCGCGCAGGTTGGCCGGCGTATCCGTCCGGACTTCAATGCCCCCCATGCCCCTGCGTCGCTGTGCCACCATGGACAGAGCTGCCGCCCGCTCACGCAGCCGTCGCCGTACCATCTCCGCCTGGTTGTGAAGCTGTTCAAAGGCGTCCTCCATGGCCTCCATGCCCAGGTAGATTTCTCGCTCGATTTCTGCCAGCACCGCAATCTCGGTTTCTTCATCAATCTGCACCGGCGCACCTCCGGGTGGCCGCACTGATCCCGGCCGAGTGGATCCAGGGCGTGAGTAGGGCGTGAACGGCGAAGCAAATCGCTGCGGTCCGTCCGCCGGTCGTATCTGACCCGCCCTCGAGCCTGTTCGAGGTGGAGTCCCGCTCAGGTCCGGCACGTCTTCAGCGCCAGACCACAGGAACCCGTCAAAACGCCCAGACACAAGGATCTCCCATTCATGCTTGGTAACCGCTGCCAGTGTTGCCAGCATGTTGTGCATGTCGGCATGTTGAATAAGATACATGACAGTTAGCTGGTCACGCGGCGGGCTGGTGAGTCGATATAGGCGCTGCAGTGCGATGCCGGCCTTGGTCAAGTATGGCGGAGTACCCGTGTCGGGCTTCTGCGTCCTGGGATTTGGAAGTTTCTCTAATCCCCATAGCAGCGCATAGAAGAGCGGTCGTTGTGGTTGCTCTAGACGTGTGAGCATGATAAATGTAAGTGTCTCGTCATCAGCGTCTTCAGGAACATTGTCCTGCTGATCAGACAGCCAAGACTGTACTGCAACTTTGGTCTTCTTGGATTGCTTCTCATAGTGCTCGCGGTACTGCTCGGGAACGTCGACATCAATTCGTTGGCATGGTGCTTCTAGTTCAGATGATATACCCAGTCCGGGCCCAGGACCTTCTTCGTATGGTGGCCACGGTGGTAGCTCACAACGACCGGAAACCAGTTCCAGGACCTCTCCCCAATTCACCCCTGCAGAATCCTCAACCACTGGTCGATCAAAGCACATCATGCACTGGCAATGCTCAGATGAGATGTTGCGAGCAAAAACGTTTTCGAGACGATCGAGCAGGCGCCGTGCAACCGAACGGTAACCCGTGGCAACGGCTAGCGAACCACTCGTGTCCATGACGGTATTGTAACTGTTGAGAACATTCTGCAATGGCTTGAAAAATGATCGCACATCGTGGGCCTGTGCACCAGATAGTCGCGGCGTCGTGTAGTGAGAATACGAAGCAGCGGGAACTCCATCAATGGCTGCCAGCAAGCTTCGCGGAATTGGCTTCGCAAGACCACCATTCTGCAGCAAGTAGTCGACCCGAGGAGCATCCATCATCATCATTGGCGGCGGCGGCGGTGGAGGTGGCGGCGTCATGGGTGCCTGTGCATAGCTGGGGTCTACCGATTGAGTGCGGGACATGGGATCTGTCATGACCTCAATCACAGACGGCCCATCCTTGGCAGACGAGACAACAGAAGGCAGAACTGAGTGCTGGGTGGGAGTGCGCGGTGATGAATCTACAACAGAAGAGGGCGATGCATCTGACTGCGGGGGAGAAGAGCCCCGGTGGTGGGCACTGTGATCCTGAATAACAGAGGTAGCTTCTGAATCAATCGTGTATTCAGACGGTGCTCTGCTCTTGACTTTGACTTTGATTGGCGTCGATGTTCTGGCTGGTGTTGATGTTCTTACTGGCGTCGAGGTCCTGCCCGGCGGCCGGGCATTTGAGGGACTTGCTGTCGTCGTCCTCGGCGCCAATTGAGGTGACTTTGCACGAATGGTGCTGGGCTGCGATCCAGTGGTGGAGGTGAGGTCAGTGCCGTCGAATTCGTCGCCCTCCCTGACACTAGAGCGTGATGCTATCCGGGGGCCAGCCTGCGATGTCATGCGCGTACCGCTGTCCACGCTCTGGCGACCGTCCTCCATCTCCCGGGCAAGTACGTCTGCGTCTCTGCGCCACATGCTGTTTGAGCTGGCTGCCCTTCTCAAGTCTGCGGCGGTAGTCGCAGTGAGCGGGGGGCTCGGAGGCGCTCGTGAGGGCGGGGGTGGTACGTGGTTGGGCGGCTGTGCCACAGTGGGCTCCTCGTTGTCCTTGTCTGCAACCATTGTGTCGACATCCGTGGCTTCTGGCGTCATGGTCGACTTTCTTCTGTCGATGGTGTCGCGCGCGTAGATGCTCTCTTTTGCATACGTCTTGGAATGCGACGGGTACGGTAAGCTGATCCTCGAGGTGTTGTCCGAGCCCAACGAGCCGCGGCGTCCCATTTCGGGCACGACTGCCATCTTGTGCGACTTGGAGGCCTGCGAGGAGGCGAGAGTCGAGGTCGAGGTCGAAGTGCGCACCCGCTCAGAAGAGGGGCGGCTGGGCAGGGGCGGCTTTTCAGTATCGTCGTCGTCCTTGGAGGCCGACGAGCGGGTCTTGCGGGAGCGGCTCCTCTTATGGCGTGGGCGGTCCTTGTCCTTGTCCTTGTCCCTGTCCCTATCCTTTGTGCGGGAGCTTCTGCGCTCGCGATCCGGGTCCTTTTTGCGGCGGCGGTGCGAGTCCGAGGAATTCAACATGGCGGCGAGATGGCGTGGAGCTCCAGGCTGATATGAGTGTGGGCCGCCAAAGCAGGGCAGGCTTGTGCGGGCGAAATGGGCAGCGCGGCTATGGGCTTGTTGGATTGGGCGTAGTAGGTGGGAACGTTGCGCGGGAGCGCCTATCAGGAGAGCAGCTCGCCATGCATCAGCCGGAATCAGATCAGGGTGCGGTGAGGGGTTCACTGTTCTAGGTGCGCTGTTGTGAGAGATTTGGGTGGTAGTGCTCTGACGTGTAGCAGCCAAGTGGAGCGGGTGAGCGCTCGGGACTGTCGACGCCCTCGCGGCACTTGACCCAAAATGTCCGTTTCTGCCCTCTATTACAGCCCCCATCCCCGTCCCCGCTGTCAACAACTGCCATGTGCTCGCTGCTGCAAACAAGCCTCGTACTTGCGTCTGTTTGCTTGTTTCGACAAGGCTCGTCCAGCGAGTTACATGTACCGGGCAATGGTTTCAAAAAAGAAGCACAAGTTGCTTCCTTCACCCCCTTCACATCTACAGCAGCCAAGGAAGATGCTGGAAGAGACCCGTGTGTGGCTTTGCATGCTTTGCTGGCATCACACACGTACGTACGTCACCCACCACAGCCATCGCAAGCCTGTGTGTAGGATGGGTTTAAAAAAAACTCCATCTTCACACATAATCGTCATCACACCAAGTTCTCCGCATTTACACAGTAATCCAATCAAGCACTCAAATAAATACTATGAAGCCTACTGTACAGACAAGGAAGATGGAAGAAGAGACAAGCCAAGTGCGAAACATGATCAAATATCGAGTGCATGCAATCTTAGCATGGGGTATCATTGTTACATGCTCTTCGTGATCCCTGACGTCTGTTGCTCAATCTTGGGTTTGTACTCCGTAGAACGCCTCCGTTATTCGCTCGTCGAGCGCTTTTCACCGCACCGCCCATGCAGAGCGCCGGTCTAAGGACAACAACAAGCCACACACACACACACACACACATGGAAGGATAAAAAACATGACACAGCAGCCAAACCACAAAGGAAGGCCCCTTGCCGTCGAAGAAAAAAGGGCTCCCACTAGTGACTTTGCTGTTGGCCTTGGGTGTTATTAACATGCTGCTGTGCCAGCTGGGCACGCAGTGTGGTGATTTCGTTTTGCAACGTCGAGATTTTGTCGTTGTGCTCCTTTTCCATGCGAGCCATTCGAGCTTCAATCTCGCGAACATACTGCCACACATCGACATGGTTGCCCATGACCTCACGTGTACTGCTGCCGCTACCACCGTGGCTAGAGTGACTGCCCGGTTGTGAACTAGCTCCGGGAGCTGCCATGGCCGAGTGCTGAAGCATGCTTGGGCCGTTGCTCTTTCCTCCCTGAGTGCCCTGCTTGGGAGGCATGGGGTTAAGTCCAGGCAAAGAGGGCAAGTGGGGCCCGTTACTGGTGTTGGGCGGAGCAAGACTGACAGGAGGTGTACCATGGCCACGGGCGTAGTTTTGCTGGTGCATGTGATGCGATAGGCTTGGTGAGCGCGAGCCTGGCATGTTGCTTTCTGGTGCAAGGCGATGTTGTTCATGTTGGCCTGGCGAGAGCGGTCGTGGACTCTCCGTCATGCTACTCTGGCCAAAGACATTCGACTGTGTGTTTGCGTTGTGAACAGAAGCAAGGTTGGACGGAGCTGCTTTGGGCGACACATTAGCAGCTTGCGCAGAAGAGCCTGGGTAGTATGGTCGGAGACTGTTTTGGCTGCCCGAGCCCCGGTTCGCGGCAATTGGCGGATACGTGCTAGAGTGCTGGTGGTACGAATCTTGCGTCGAGTTTCCAGTGTTTTGTCGCTTGCGCGCGGGCTCGCTAACACGCCGGCCGTCGTCGTCTTCATCGCCCTCTCCGTCAGGCTCGCCAGTGTAGATGACGCCGTCCATGCCTTCGTCGCCCTTGGAATCGCCAAGATCGTCATCGATGCCGAAACTAGAGCGGCGGCCCGCACAGCCACCTTGGCCCTTGTTGTGTCGCGCAAGGGCGTCTCCGCGAGCAAACCTGCGGCCACACTTGTAGCAGGTATGCGGGCGCTCGCCGGTGTGTAGTTTCGTATGCCGTTTCAAATCATGTAGACGGCGGAAACGTGCTTGGCAGGTGGGACATTCATAGGGCTTTTCTTGGCTGTGGGTTAGCAGGTGACTTTTGAGGTTGTGGTGTCGCGTGAAGTCTGTAGAGCAGTATGGGCACTTGTGACGTTTTGTCGATGGCGACTTAGGCGTGTTTTGGCCGTATCCAGGAAGACTCATCTGGCGGGTTGGGGCGCGAGGGTCGGGCTCCGGAGGAAGGGGGCCGGGGAAGGTGAAAGCGCGGTTTCCCGGATTGTCGGCAGGGTTTGGGGCTATGAGCTGGTGGTGCTGCTGATGGTGCTGCGACTGCTGTTGTTGTTGCGGCTGGTGAGGCGCTCCTTCCCGAGCCGTGTTGCCAAGAGCGCCGCCTTCTGTGGCAGAGGCACCCGGCGCGTTTGGCGCATCTCCATCTCCAAAGCTGGAAAGACTGACTGGGCTAGTTTGCATGTTTTCGCCGGTGACTCCATTGTTGTCTGGGATCATGAGCGGCTTCGCGATCTTGTCGGCCTTTGTGGGTGGCGCGGATTCTTGCGGGGCGCCTGAAGAATGGCCCATCAACTGGACGGTGCCATTCAGGCTCTGCAGGACCGAAGCAGCAGGATTGGGGCTCGTCTGGCGCGATGAAGGCTCGCGAAAGCGGCGTTCGTCGGCGAGGGCACCGGGTCCGGCGAGGGCCTGTGGGGAGAGCTGGGGCGACAGGCCGCGGGGAGACTTTGTGAGATGGGTTCCAAAGGTTGCGCCGCCGTGCGAGTTGCGCGCTGCAGAACCTGGGGTGCTGGGACCGTTGACAGCATTAAATGGATTTGTCGGCGTTGGAGTGAGTGCTCGCGTCGAGGCGGCCATGGTGGGCTGGGGCGACAGGAGCGAGGAGTTGGAATATACGCGTCTTCAAACTCGCGTCAGCACTGGCGAGGTCGCAACGGGCAAGAATGCGCAGGGCTTCTCTTGATCAGCGAAGCGGCATGGGGGGGATGGCGGCGGTGCTGACCTTTGTTGCGATGCGATGAGATGCAGGCGTGCACCGGCGCGCGTGCGAGAGTCTGCTACCGACACTCGAGATGGACGTGGGCGGGAGGGAGAGCCAGCTTCGCAATTGAACAATGGTATTACACGGTCGCCGTGTGCCGTTCAATCAGAAACAGAGCGGGCCGGGTGGAGCAAGCGGCAATTGGCGCCTGGCGAGCGCAGGACGTCAGTGGAGGGGTTGAGCCACAGCACACAGTGCAGCATGCAGCGAACAGCGGGCAAGGGCAAGGGCGGATGGGGAGGTGGTGCAGGGCTTGCCTGGTGGTGAAGGTGAAGGTGAAGGTGAAGGTGAGGATGAGGCGCAGGGTGGCAGGGCGGCCGGGTGGCAGGGCGCGGGTGGTGCGTGGTCAGAGGGTGCCGAGGGCGAGCGAGGTGGATGGGGTTGTGGCTGAAGAACGGGGTGGTGCAGCCTGGCTTAGTCGGCGTGTACATACGACATGGACGACGCCTATGTAAGCACACACTACACACTACTTACACACACACCCACACACCCACACGCACGCAGACCGGGACCGAGTCAGGATGGATCACGACAGTCACGGGCCTTTTTTCTGCAACGGCCCTTTTGGCGATGAGGGCGGCGGCGGGCGGAGGCAGGCGATGGGCAGGCAAAGCGATGAACGGGGAGACTACCAAGGCAAACGCAAGCCCATTGGGGCTGTGCAGGCGCGCCAGACGAGGCCGGCCCACTCTGCACTGCTGAAGACGCAACAACATGGGCGCCACACCTCTCCGAAACATTGCGCCCTCCTGGAGCCGCTCGCTGACATGGCCCGCGTCATGTCGTGTCGTCTCGAGCTGCCGTCTTTTGCCATGGCCGCCGCCACACGAGCATGCAGCTTCCATGTAAGTAGTACATAGAGACTCGACACACACACACACATACAACAGATTGATTGCATGCCTCATGTGCACGGATGCACACGTGGACGTGAGCGTGCACCGTGTGAGGTGGCTTCAACCTCGCCCACGCCCTGTCGTCATGCATAGCCACGGTCGCCAACGGTTTGGCTGATGGGATGGGATGGGATGGATGGATGGATGGCCGGGCTGGCTGCCGGGCTGGCTGGCTGGTGACTGCTGACCTGGCCCTGCAGCTGCAGCCCAAGCCCAGCCCCCGGCCGGCCAATCGCCGGCCAGCAAATGGACGCGCCACGCTCCGCCGGCTCGCCATTGGCCATTGGCCTGCTGCTATCAGATTCACATGGAGAAAGCCGGATGGATGCTTCCCTAGCCGACCGCCCTCCGCCTCAGCCTGCCCGCTCCTGCCACTGCCAACCTCAGACACAGACACAGACAGGCAGGATTTCGGAGCAACTGTGTCGCATCCCGCCACGCTACTCCGCCACGCCCGCACCGCGTCATTTTCACCTCAGGCCCCGGGATGCCATGTCCACTGCGCCTCCCATCCTGCTGCCCCTTCCTAGACGACTACCACACTACGTCGACCACCACCACGACTACTATCCTACTACGCCTCCACCCACAACCGTCAGCAATCCACTTATCGATCGTCAGGCACCGCATCTCCACGCCTCGCGCTTGCCTCCCTCCTGGTGGCCATAGTGCAGTCAGTGCAGACCCAACTTGGTCCTTTCCCCTAACCCTCAACCCTTTCTCCCTTTCTAGCCACCCCCATTGTGCCACTGAATTTATCAGCTACAACCGCCACACACGCCACACTGGTACGCCACACTCATCGGCGCTTCCGGATTGGCTAATCTTCTTACGACAATCTCACCGATTGGTGGTCGCTGCTCTAATCTCCACGACTCGACGATGGCTGCAACAGATCGTCGACAGGTAATTGCACCACACGGTCTGTTCAGTCTCGATCTCGGTGGCGGGACGATCATGACTGCACAGGCAGATGGCAGAATCAGGGGACACCGCTCCCGCCACGTGACTCGGACTTGTCTTGTCCGTGTCTCGCAGATTGTAGTACAGAGTATACCCTACACTACTACTGCTATTCGAAAAGCAAGCTTGCGACACTGCACGTCATGTCTACCCCCGACACATGACACTCTGGTATAGTATACAATTCATGTCATCCTAGTCATCATGATCGGATTGCCTCCACGACGATGGGCATATCCATGGTACAGAAATACTGCCCCGTCTCCTGCAAAGACACTGATATCAATGACATTTCCTCCAAATCATCTCCCCAACTAACCAGGGGCTCATGTTGATACGGCAACACAACACAAAAAACACAATCAACCACCTGACTGATAAACATCCATTCAAAAGCACCGTCCAAGGCCAGAATGCCACCAATCCCCCCCCACATCATACCATTTTCGTAAAAAAACATATAGGACACATGCTACAAGTGAGCCTTTGTCTTTTTCTCTTCACGGAACCGTTTCGGCCAAATGCCCTGCTTGCCCGGTGAAAGAATGCCGTTTGGGTCCACTGCGTCCTTGATCGTCTCGACAAATCTCCGGTATGCATGGTCGTTGAAATCGTATAGCGAGGCAACGCGATCTAGCCCCTTGTCAGCCTCCTACAAACTCCACAGCAAAAGACCAAAGATATGTACCCATGTAATCCACATGACTGCGGTAATTGCTGTACCCCCTCTTTTTTCCCTCCTCGAACACGTCGTCAAAGATTCTCTGTACCGTCTCTACCTGCCCTGCATTCAACTTGTCAAATGTCATCATGTTTACGAAGATCACATGACGTTCGTGCATGAAGAAGTCGCAGAACAAGTCAAATCCGTGCTTTTCACAAACGCCCTTGGCCGTCTTGACCCACGACAAGATCTCCTTGCCATTAGACGGGATAATCGGACTGTAGTCGTAATGTGCGCCAATGCCGCCTCCAGACTTGGGCAAGTTGAACTTGACCATGGGCAGCGACCAGAGCGAAGGTACTCCGACAAAGAAGCCACCCTCAGCTTCAGGCACTGACGCTGCATCAAGCGTCTGGCCCTCTGGTGCAGCAAACATCTTACCCGCCAGCTGGCCCTTTGGCGCCTTTTGCACAATAATCTTTTGCAGTTGGTTGAAATGCGCTTGAACCACGTCTTTTGCCCCGTACAGACCGAACTTTGCATTCCAGTACCCAAGCCCAAGCTCCTTCTGCAGCTCTTTGATCCGCCAGTCAGGAATCGGCGTCTTGTGCGGCCAAAAGTTTTCGCGCTGGCCCACCATACCGAGCCACTCTGTCACGTTGGACACATACACGGTGCTGGGCAGTAGGCCGTCGCGACGCAGCGGGCCAAAGATGTCGACAATCGTCTCGACGTCTTCGAGCTCTGGCATGTTAAAAGTACACGACATGTAAGCCTGCGGCGCGGGCGTGAGCCAAATGCCCAGTTTGGTCACGATGCCTAGGTTGGACTGTAAGAACAGGCCTTCGATGCTAGGACCAAAGGTGAACTTGGAGAGATGCGCAGACGGAGATTCGGACACTGCAAATTGGCCTGTCCGCACCAGATCGCCGTTTGCAAGCATAGCTTCCAGGCCAGCAATGTGCTGGTGGTGCGTCGATGTCGGCGTGAAGCCTGTGCCACGATCGAGTGTGTTGCCAACGACGGAGCCCCAACCCAGCGATGGAACAGACGGCCACACATTTAGCTTATTCTTGACACAGTAGTCGTACAAGTCTGTAAATGTAACGCCTGGTTCTACAACGGCGTACGCGTACTCGGCATTGACTTCGATAATCTTATTCATGCGATGCAAATCTAGTGCCACGGAACCCGTGACTCGCGGTGCTGGGCCACCATATCTAATTCCAAACGTTAGAAGCCGTCTTCATCGCACGAGCGATCAACATTTCATATTGGAAAAAAAAATCAGAGAGAGAGAGAGAAAGAGAGAGACATAGAGAAACAAAAGAAAAGGAAAGCAAACCCTAGATTTTTTCCCCTCGAAAACGTCCACACGGGAATCCCAAACTCATTCGACACCTTTAGTAATCCCTTGAGCTCCTCTATACTCTTGGGTCTCACCGCCGCACTAGGAATCTTCCTCGTGCCTTCCGCTTCATGCAGCTCGTACGGATCAATATACTCGACTAGTTGCTCTTCGCTGTCGTAGACTTGCTCGTCCCCTACCACGCTCCTGTATCGCGCGAGCGCTGCATCAAATGTCGGACGCGAAATGCCAGGCGGCAGCACGCGCGTTATAGGCTTAGTGATGGAGTCGCGGAAGAGGTTGTAGTGGGTTGATTGATATGTGGGATCCGTGTATGCCGGAGATGGGGAGGGCATTGTTTTCTTTTCTTTTTTCCCTCTTGGTCTAGTAGTTATCAAGGAAATGTGGCAGTGGCAAGGTAGTACGTAATTGGTTAAAAGAAAAGTATGCGATAGTAGAAAGAATGATATCGCCTGAAAACAATTTATTCTTGTCCTTTCTCTTTTTTTTTCGATCGAGTCTAGTTATCGGGAAAACAGAATAATTCTTCCTTTAATATGGTCGCTTATGCTGGGGGACTCTGCGCAATCGACAGGGTTCTGACAGTAGTACCCTTTCCCCACATTGGCGGAGAAAGAGTAGTGGTACCCCACATTCTCTCTCACCCTTTCTCCACACTCTCGGGGCGGGTCTTATTCTTCCTGTCGCCGCTCGGTGGGGTTGGCTCCGAATTCATTCATGTACATACTATACGTCTAGTACGGCGTGTTGGGGAAGCAACTGGTCTTGGAAAACAACGAGGGGCTACGTAGTTTGGTGTACGTAGTGGGTGGCTTGTAATGTGTGCACTTCGGGTCCAGGTGGGAAGGACGGTACAGGTTATGTACATATGCATACAAATAATCGCCCACCACCCTCCCAGTAGCAATAAATACTGCGCTCACCTTGTACTGTGAGTAGAATCTATTGAAGATTGCGATGCTGTCAAGACAGAGTCTTCGTTACTCACACAAAGGCAGAGAAACTACCGGAAAAATACGTATCTTGATCGGCTTCGGAACTATGTACGCAACCGAGCAAGCCTTTGAGATCCTCTGACCAAAATAGCAGACACAAATTTAGCTTGCATTCGTTTGTATTTTACTGCTACAAGACAAGCTGTTTCTTTCTTATTTTTGCTTAAATTTATTTTTACCAAACAGTTTTCAAGAATATGTAATAGCATATAACTCTGTAGTAATAGAAAACCACAACGACTGGCAAGAAAATTCCTAGCAGGAGAGGGGAAAAAGCAGCTATCGGACAGTATAATGTAGGAAGGACAATTTTAGTATAGAAAACTAAGTAATCCAGCATTTGTTAGTTTCACAAGAACCCCTACATGTTCCATCGTATGTGACCGGGTGCAGTACAATCACTTGCCACCTGATGCCCCCTCGGCCCTGACGCTCGGAACAAAATACAGTGTTGCTTGCTCAAAACCTCATTAGCTACGATTGCAACCCTGTCCACAGCTTCACCATTCCAGGCCTGTCTTTCTTTCCCACACCTTGACAACCGGTGTTTCTTTCAACTCGGGAAATTTGTCTTTGTGTAAAAAGACTAAACGACGAAAGATACGCTCGAGAAGTGCGCGCCGTGTGACCTCTGGAAACTTGCAGTTATTGCAAAGACTATCGATCTGTAAACAGTCGATGTTTACCGCACCAACCGACGCCTGCTTATATCAGAAATTGTATCAAAAGGTCAATGAGAAGCCAGGAGTATATACTTCTGATAGGCCTCGCTGCTCCAGAGCTTCAAGGATACTTCGCCACACTTGAACTCCACTTAGTATGGATACTGCAGACCAGGAGCCAAAGAGCGATTCGATCGCCACTCGTATATGCTGTACATTGCTTTAGTCTTTGATAGCAAAAAAAAAATAACAGTTTTCGTACCGGTAGTACACGAGCGAATACAAAAGGCATAGCCTTCAGCTCGGGAAAAGCCTGCGGCTCCGCGATTACCCAGTCCACCAATGAACCTTCAATGTTCTTCTTTATTCTCATCAAGTTGATAAATTGTCCAGGTTTGGGGAAAGCTTGAACAATGCTACTCCGAAGCTCATCCTTTGTGCGTGTCTTACTTTGGCCGCCAAGGCCGCTTGCAACTATGCGCTGGTTCTTGTTAGTCACGCACAATCATGAGAACTAGGAGACTCGGACTTGCCTCAGCTGGAAGTCGGCGTTGTAGATTGTTCATTATCGTCTCGGTGATCTGCAAGTAATCGTTGACACACATGTCTGGAGTTAAGGAGTCTGTTCCCCACAACAACTGCAACACGGGCATACCGAAAGACTAGAGAAGTTAATATCAGTAATGTAAGACTTGGCTTCGTTTCTTACACTGTCAATATTATCATTGTTCTGAGAGCGGCTGGTGTCCATCTCATCAGCAGTCGCTACACTAGGGACTGTTGATCCGAGGTCGCGATCCTCTGTTGACAAGTTCGGCCTACTAGTTACGGTAGCCTGCATGGCCGCGTTGGTAACTCGTGCTTCCTGAGTTTTTGATATTCCGCCAGAACCCTCAGCATCCTCGAATTTGATGATGGTGTTCCTGCGTAAGGGTATGCCTTTATTCCTGATACATAGCGTTGACTGGCCTGGGGCGGGTGTCACACGAGACAATTGGCCATTGTTCATCTGAGTGAGCTCTGGCCGGACCAACATTCCGCGATTGCCTTTGCAAAGCTTATCCAAGCTTTCAACCCACTTCTGGAATTCCTTTTGGGACAAGCCGTCTAGCAGTGATTGCATGTCAATCAGCATCTCCTTTCTCGATGCTCTGGATCCCAGCATTTGTTGGGTGGTAGGCAGAGTATGATATGCAAACAGATCAGCAGTACGTGGGAATGCATGTTGTATAGCTTCTTCAGTGACTGTATCGGGATCGATATTCCAGTCCCATGAGGATGAAATCTTCCTATCCTTCTGCCTTTGAGAAACCGTGTTGGAATTGGAAACGGTATTTTCTGTTGGGGTTTTTGGGCGTGACGGCGTAGCCTCTTGAAGCTTCCTACTACGATTGCGCCTCTTTTTCTTCGGTGAAAGAGATTGCTCAACGAGAGTATTGCTAGAGTCTGTGGTTTCTTCGTCGTTTGGAGTCTTGCGTCGTTGTCCAAGCGCGGCCTGTACAGCCGAGACTGCCTGATCGGGCGTATCGAAGTATTCAGCGAGCATGCCTATCAAACGGCGTATCATCTCCGGTTGAAAGGCCTCCATCGTCCGCTGTATGTTCGCTGGTTTGGCTCGTTCTTCGCGCATGTGCTGCTCTATGACATGTTGTCCTAACTGCTTCAAAATACCATCAGGAAAGCAGATACGGACAAGGCCCTTTACCGCGTCTCTGAAGAGATCATTGTTGAGGCAGTTGGCAGCTGATAAAACTTTGATGCGAAAATTCCAGTCGTCGTCTTTCGACCGGGACATTGTTCGATCTTGCATCGGCTGCGTGTCGGATCTACTACAGGTGGATGAGCTAGTTGAGTGCATGCGCGTCCGCTTTGGCGTCGCTGCGCCGCTGTCTGGCGATCGTTCCTTCTGGGAGCATTAGTATACTGGCGCTGTTACTTATGCATTGACAAGAGTGAGACTGCTTACGCGTCGTTTCTTCGGTGTATCACCCATGGCATAGAAGTAAGAGCTGGCTGGCTCTAAGAAGCTGATGGCTATTTGTCCGCTGACAAGATAGAGTTGTTGACTATTAAAGGCTGTCGAACAGTTTAAGTGAGTGGCCCACTTGTTTGTTTGTCATCAAGTCTGGGTGAAAGTGAGCGTATGGCAGGCAGGCGCGAGGGCCATGACGTATCATGTGATTGTGCTAACCGAGTGAAACGAACGTTCCTCTAAGTGATTTGCTACAAACCTGTTGCGGTCAAGCTCACCCAGTGGCCAAGCTCGGTAAGCTCGAGTGAGGTTGTTGACGGTGAAGGGACCTGAACAAGCGTCAAGTTTAAGCAGATATGTGTTCGTAATAACATTCTACATACGATTTTTTTTCCCAACTGGTTTTTGAACTCACATTTCGGCTGGTTTGGGCTGGCGGAGATTCTGGTGTTTGTTACGTGACGAGATGCTATCCGCATACTTATGGGAATCTCCTAATATCTTAGCGCAGCTAAACCTGTCACCTCGTAATTCTACTAACCTAGTGGAACATTCATTCCACTATCCTGTCAGTGGACAAACAAGCATTAGCCTTTCAAAGCTAGCCAACTTACTTTTTTTTTGTGACAAATCACTCAAAGACAGATCAAGCAAGCCTTTAGAGCCGTGACAAATCATTTCAACATTCAATGTCATTTCATTTCTATTCTAAATCACAAAAAGAAAGCGGGTCAAGGTGCCTGCAGTAGGACTTCAAACTCAAACGGCTCACAAAGCAAGCTGTACTCATCCAACGTCCTCGGTCCACAGCTACCACTGCCCAATCCATGATGCTGAGCATCCAACCTCAGCACAACCTCCTCCCGCTTGTGCTTCCTCAGCTCATGCGGGTGGCCCGCAGCAGCCACATCCTTCATCCTGTAGTGGCTGGCCTGGAAGTCGAAGAGCTTCCTTTCTGCATCCGCTTTGCCTGCGAATTGAGCAAGCAGCCCCGCACCACTGCCATTGGTGATGCTAACGTAGCGAGTGTCTGTCCGGTTTGCTGATTCTTGAGGGACCTCGTAATCGACCCACAGCTCATCGATGCTCGAGGCGGTGTATTTGCCAATGGGCTGGGAGAACTTGCTGTCGCGATACGACTCGCTGAAACCGCGGCCGAACCATTCGACCTTTTGGAATTGCTTTGGGAGTTCTAGAACAAGACCGATGCGCGGGAGTGTACGCGGCAGATTTTGACCCTTGGGTGTACCGGCAACGTGCACAGAGAGTGTTCCGGTGGCATGGAATGTGTATGTCAGGATGGTATCAATAGACCATGAGAGGACAGGAGGGGCTACACGCTGGTGCACAGTGATCTTCAGAGTGTCTGAGCCAGACTGCGACCACTCGACCTTACGAGTTGCTGCCTTGGCGTGTTGGAGATGCTTGTCTTTCCAATCCCAGCCATCTTGCGGTATGTCGTTGTCGGTAGGAGCGCGGAAGATGTCAAACACTGGTGCTCCGGAAATAAGTTCGGTAGACCCCTGTACCCATGACGTGAGCGAGCCATGAATCGTGTTAAATTTCCAGGTAGCGCCATCGGCCGTAATCTTGATCACTGTCTTAGACTCAGCTTCAACCTTGATCTCTTTGCCCTTGGCCTCGGCTTGCTGCAGCGGCGCGACCGGAGTGATTGGAACTTGCGCATTTGCAACTTCGAAGCCTGCCTTGAGGTACGGCGTGGCTTCCTTCAATTGGAATGAGATGTTGAGTAGAACTTCGCCCTTGGATTCTTCAACCTTTGGAAGTTGCAGATCAAATGTCTGGCCTGGTAAGATGCCAGATGGAATATCCAAGTTTGCAGATCCGCTTCCGTTTCCGGACTCGGATGTCGTAGTATAGCTGCAGCTCAAATGGTCCAGTGTGATAAAGTCGTATCTATTGATAAATGTGGCTTTTGAGGCACTCGACTCCAGTAGCTGTACTGGCTCGATAGCTTTCTTGTACTCGATCAAACCCGCATTTGGCTTGTGATCAGAGTTGACAAGTCCGTCCATGACGAATGTTGCATCGTGGACTTCTTCTCCAAAATCGCCACCATATGCATAAAACTCTTCTCCAGTCTTCTTGTCTTTGGTGAGAAGGCCATGATTGGCCCATTCCCAGGCAAAACCACCTTGCAAGGTGGGATACTTGTAGAAAGCATCGACATACTCCTTGATGTTGCCAGGGCCGTTGCCCATTGCATGTACCTGATACAGTTAGCTGAGTCGGATATGTCTAGCGTACGCTACTCACGAATTCGCAAAGTATAAGCGGCTTCTTCTTCTCCTTGTCCTCGCCAAACCGAACAATCTCGTCGATTGGAGGATACATCCTAGAGTACATGTCCATTGTGTCGGCGTAGATGTCGGCTTCGTAGTGAATCGGCCGGCTGTCGTCATATGCCTTGATGTGCTCGTACATGGCTACGAAGTTGCATCCCATGAACGCTTCGTTGCCTAAGCTCCAGATGATGACGGAAGGATGCAACTGATCTCTCTTTACAAGCGCCTCAGCGCGATCAACGTAGGCATGTGTCCAATCCTTGTTGTTGGTTGTCCACTCTGCCGCCTCTTTGCGAGTGAGGAGCTGACGCTCACGGAAAGGCATAGCGCGCTGTTCCGTGCTGAGCGCTGCGTCCGAGATGCTTTCAAATCCGTGGCATTCCAGATCCGCTTCATCTATAACCCAGAAGCCCATCTCATCCGCGAGATCGTACAGCCGTGGATCATTCAGCTGGTGCGATGTGCGGATAGCATTGATGTTGTGACGCTTCATGGTCAACAGGTCTTCTTTCATGAATTCATACGGAACAGCACGGCCACAGGTGGGGTGGTGTTCATGGCGATTGACTCCACGGAAGACAACTCTTTTACCATTGACCAAGAGTAGGCCACCTTTCATCTCAACCTGCCTGAATCCAACGCGTTGAGCAACGACTTGATCATTAGTAGAGACTACAAGATGGTAGAGATTTGGTGATTCGGCAGTCCATTTTAAGGGGTTCTTGACTTGGACGCTGAGTTTGGTTTCGCCACTGCCGTCAATCTGAGCGTCTGTTGAAGCGACTTCTTGCTTCTTTGCGTCCAGAAGCTTTGCGGTGACCTTTCCAGACCCAGTGGCAGTGATCTTGAGCTTGAGCTCAGCATCAGTGTAGGAAAAATCGAGGAGCGTTTGTGCAAAAACGTTGTCGATTCTAGAAGCCTTGGGGAACCCGACTAATGAGACATCTCGGAATCTGTAGTCATAAGCACCGAACACGCCAAGAGAAGCGCCGAAACTTACATGCCACTCAACCACCACTGGTCCTGGTCTTCAATATAAGTCCCGTCACAGTGCTGGTAGACCCTGACGGCTAACGTGTTGGCCCCATTGAGATCGACAAAGGATGTAACGTCGAATTCATCGGGGTTCCTGCTACCCTGGGAATACCCCACTTCCTTTCCGTTGACCCAAACATGAAAGGCCGCGTCAACACCTTCGAACCGAAGGCGGATCTGGCTGTTCTTTAGTGCTTGGGGAACTTCAAACTTGCGGACGTACGAGCCCGTCTCGTTTTCTGTGAATGGGACATTGGGCGGATCTACGGGGATGTGATAGATGACATTGGTATACTGTGGACCTTTACCAAAGCCTTGCAGCTGCCACATACCAGGCACGGCAATGTCACTCCATGATGAAGTGTCGAAGGTGGTCGACTCGAAACCCTCAGGGGCTTCGAACGGAGAGTAAGAGTGCCGGAACTTCCATGTACCCGATAGGCTGTGTGTCGAGGATTTGGTCACGTCGGCATTGAGAGCATCGGCCTCGGACGTGTAGTTGTGGAAGTAGGCACGTGCAGGCAGAGTATTCTTGTGAAGAACCTGGAGATTGTTCCAGTCCGGGACGCTCTGGGGGTGCTGACCTGAAGCCATTGTTGACGAGTTCAGAGAGGATGGTAGTACATTGCTCGACATTTGTGCTCTCTACTCTTTCACTTGTGATATCGTAACCCCGCCTGCGGTAGTCGACGGCCACATTGGGGAAGCCGCCCGCTGGTAAACTGTTAGCCGAGCCATGTGCCTGGTCGAATGAGGGCAGCAGCAAGCGTGACGCGAGGAAGAGCGCTTGCAGCGGAATAGGAATGGGACGATGTCCGGGCGCGTTGAGGTTTCCATGTGGTAGTCGGAAGGCATGCTGCACGTGGCTAGCCCGCTTCTCCAGACTCTCCGCGAAATTTTCTCCACGCCCCACTGCCCAGGCCAACTACGCCAAATGCTCTCTCGCCCGGCGCATCTCGATTCATAATTTGGCCGAGCTGCCCACTCTTTTGATTCGCAGCCGTGGCAACACCTTTACGCGTGGCGTCGTGCAGCCGGTGCGTTCTGGCAGTTACCGCCGCGTTTGTCCTGCATCTGGGCCTTTTCCCGTCCCTCGGGAAGGCTTTTCCATGGATCGTGACATGATTGAATCCTAGCGCTCTGGTGAGATGCATGTTTTTGGGCGCTCCGTGTCTCCTCCGGTCCCAAAATAGCATTGTTACCGCACATCACTGGCGCACTTGGCTAACGGTGTCTTGACCGTGCTTAACCATCGGCATTCTAGAGCATAGACAAGGCACGGGAGCCATGTCAAGCATGACAGGTGCCTCGGTACCGTATCTTAGGGTTGCAGGTAGTGTAAGTAGTTTGCGGAGAAACATTCACACTATAAGATGACCCAGTCTTCCGGGTTCTCTCCAGCTTTTCAGTGGAGCGCAATTCCATATTTCTTCTCCACAATCCGAGTCGGAGTCGTCGTCGTACAACATGGCAGAAAAGAGCGAGGACATGGGCGCCGTGACGCACCAGCTCAGTGCAGTCGACGATGATATGCAACACAAGACCGTCAAGGAGACGAACGTGGCTTCGGTCGCTCTGGGTAAGTTTGCCGAATCCTGCTCTCGAGCAGCAATGCTAATTCCACAAAGCCGCTGCCATTGAGGCCGAGAAGCCAAAGCTATGGTCTCCAGGAATGATCAAGCTCTACATGATCATGGGCGTCGGATACCTGGTTTCCACACTCAACGGTTTTGACAGTTCCTTGATGGGCTCAATCAACGCCATGGAAGGCTATCAAAAAACCTTTGGCCTGACTGGCGAGGGTTCCAGCACCGGTATCATCTTCATCATCTACAACTTGGGCCAGATTGCAGCATTTCCCTTTTGTGGACTTTTGGCCGACGGCTGGGGTCGCCGTATCTGCATTTTTGTTGGGTGTGTGCTCGTACTGGTCGGAACTGCCGTTCAAGCAACGGCAAACGAGAAGGGCCACTTTATTGCTGGTCGCTTCGTTCTCGGGTTTGGTGCCTCAATTGCCTCTGCAGCGGGTCCCGCGTACACGGTAGAACTTGCCCATCCTGCTTACCGTGGAACCATGGCCGGCATGTACAACAATTTTTGGTGGGTTGGCAACATTCTGGCCGGCTGGACCACGTACGGAACCAACCTACACATGGGCGACTCTTCGTGGTGCTGGAGGATCCCGACCATTGTCCAATGTATTCTGCCCTCGATTGTCATGTCTCTGGTCATGTGTAAGTCTACGCTATTCCATGATTTTCCTCGAGTTCAAAAGCTTACTTGACGCTAGTCTTTCCCGAGACGCCACGATGGCTCTTGGCACACGATAGGCGGGAAGAGGCGATTGCAATCATGGCCAAGTACCACGGCAATGGCAACGCGGACTCTCCCATTGTGCAGCTCCAACTCCGTGAAATTACAGAGGATTTTGCTCAAACATCCAACGACAATCCTTGGTGGGATTTCCGTGAGCTTGTAAACACGCGTGCGGCGAGGTACCGATTGGCAATGGTGATTGCCATGGCTTTCTTTGGCCAATGGAGCGGAAACAACGTCGTCAGCTACTTTATGCCTGTCATGGTAAGTCTTGATGTAACAACCACACCCCTTGATGCACCAGACTAATGCGTGGGTTTAGATTAAAAATGCTGGTATTACGGACCCCGACAAACAGCTTCTCATCAACGCAATCAACCCCATCTTCTCCATGCTTGCGGCCATTTACGGTGCGACCCTGCTCGACACGCTTGGTCGCCGAAAGATGCTCATGGGCGGTCTCTGGGGCGGTCTCTTTTCCTACATTCTCCTCACCGCATTTACTGCAACCGCCAAGCCGGACAATAACCTCGCATATGGCACCATTGTCTCCATCTATCTGTTTGGCATCTTCTTCGCATGGGGCTGGACGCCTCTGCAGACGCTCTACTCTGTCGAGTGTCTGGAGAACCGAACTCGCGCCAAGGGTTCTGGCCTCAACTTTCTTTTCCTCAACATTGCCATGGTGGTCAACACGTATGGCATTTCTGTCGGCATGGAGGCGATTGGATGGAGGCTCTATCTTGTGTACATTGGATGGATTTGCGTCGAGATTGCCGTCATTTTCTTCTTCTTTGTCGAGACTGCTGGTAAGACGCTCGAGGAGCTCAAGGAGATTTTCGAGGCGCCCAACCCCCGCAATGCCAGTCTCCGCAAGACAAAGGTAGAGATTGATTCGAGCGGTCAGGTGCACAACATCCAGGAGTAGACTGAGTATGAAATGATGTGGTAACACGCGTTATGAGTTGGGGATGTAGCTATGTTAGGTACCTTTTTTTAGGAAAAAAAAACCCCCCTCTACAAAACGCAAGTCGTTTTTGATAATGCTATAGTAATAGTTACTCTACATATCTTTTATTCTTTGGGCATGTTGAACAAGGCGGTATACACTTTAGCTTTCAATCAAGCAAACAAGAATTGGGCACGTCTTTGGTACGTGGAAAATTGTATCGAGTGCTACTACCCCTCCCTTGGCAACCCCACAAAGTACCAAGCGACATACACATCCAGCCTGCCAGCACCAAACACTCCTCAACAAGTCCATGTTCCACCTGTAATACAAAGGTGCACACACACACATCGTACCATGGACGCAACACAAGAACAAATAGAAGAGGAAAAAAACAGCCACTGTACATGTGTCCAGAGGTCATAAAAGTCAGCCTTGGCCTCAAAGGGCAGTAAGTACTCACCAAATGCCCGCAACCCCCACTTGGAAGGGTAGCCCCTTGACTCGTTCACCGTTCACAACGCCCGCGCGTGGTTTCTCGCCGGAATAAGAAAAGAAGAAGAAGAAAAAAAAAAGTAGAAATGTCAAACAGACGGGCCCGTAGCAGGTACATATGTATTAGTGGCAAGTATGCACGTCAGACGAGAGTGGGAAAAGCAAAACGCCGGGGGAGGGCTGGACGGGAAAGAGTAGAGCAAAATAAAGAAAAGTGGGCGAAACAAGAAGAAGCATGGGAAAAAAGGAAAAAGAATGAGAATGCCTACACGCGATTCTCACATGCTTTGCGAATGTTTACCATGGCATTCTGGCCTTTGCGGACATGGGTTTGCTTTTTTTCTAACTTGTTTTTGTGTGTTCTCCGGGGAATTGCTTTTGTAGGGCGTTCCCGAAGAAAGACGGGCGTCGGCCTTTTTGGCTCCCCTCCCCGTCATTCCTTTTGCTTGCTGCACCCTGCTCATTTCTGGTCTAGCATGAGTTTAGCATGATTTCAACGTGGCTCTATTCTTTGGAGAAAGAGCGGCGGTGGCGGTGGCAATGGATCAAATACAAGCGAGGACAAGGGAGGCAAGAAGTGATTGGGAATGAGACTGATTTCTTGCAGGAGCCCGGTCGGTTTGTTCAGGTAGGGTGTTCGCAGACGGTGTTGATCATGTGAGGGTTGCAAACTAGTGTGTAGCCAGTCTTGCAGAGGCTAAATTTGGACCAGTCTGTTTTCGAGCAAAGGTCAGATGAGGGAGGAGGGAAAGGTGGAAGTTTCAATCTCGAATGAAGACGAGCAGTTGGAGATGCAACTCGGGATCATAGAACTCAGCGTGCCTGATTCCACATTCTATCCAATCTCCATTTCGTCCACCATTGCAGCCGCACGCTGCTTTCGCATGGCTTCCTTCTTCACCCTCCTGGCCGAAGCCTTGGACATGCCTTTTCCAGAGCCAAGCTTTCGATACTCTTCCAACGACATGCCTCTTCGCTCTGCAGCGGCCATCTCGGCCTGCAATGTCTTGTCTTGAGTAACGTCCTTCATCTTGACGCTATTCCTCTCCTTGCGGGCCTGCATCCTCGCGAGATTCTGACGTGTGCGCTTGTCTGGGCTAAGGTTTAGTACAAACAGTCGGAATGCTGGTTCAGAGGTATGACTGTCGCGAAGAAGACAACTTACTCATCTTTTTGCCTGCAGATTCGGCGTCAACCATGATGCTCTGGTCACCGCTTGTTTGCTGATCGGTACCTAAACAAGCTTGTTAGACTTTGTTTCAGCTCATCGGCTCTCCCCACGTCAAAAGCAACCAAAGGTGCAGAGCAACTGCATGAACTGGCAGTGAGCCACAACACGTGACTTACCAGTGTATGCATGGGCCGTCGGTGCCGAAAAGGCATCGCCCAAGACCTCGACTAGCTCGTCGGCCAATGCGCCCATTTTGCGTCGGTCCTTTTGTTTTTTCTTCTTGGATTTCTGTGCAGGTACCTGGCCGTTGGCCTGCCTGGGTGAAGGGCTCCGTTGGCTATGTTGTGATTGGTCGCTGTCGCTCGCCTCTGAAAATTGGTCTTCGCCCATTCGGAATCCTGTGTTCGCAGCCATGACTCCTGTTGCTGTGCTTGTGCGTGTGTCTGTCGCCGGAAAAGGCAGCCAGTGTGCTCAACAAATCAAAGACAAGTAGAGTAAGTATGTATAGAAGGTAGCAGAAGCAGAAGCAGAAGGTGGAGCCAAGGTAAGAAGTAGCGGATCGGCACTAGGTTTTTCCGGCGCATGTGATTCGATCATCAGTCTGTATTATCGAGGTACCAAATGCTTGTGTCGCGTTCACGCGCTCTATCATCTAGCCCGTTTTCCGCCTTTTGATATAATGTAAAAATGCTATGCACAGATGCCGCCCTAGAGTCCAAAATGAAAATAGAAACAAGGATACCAATGAATGACGTGTGGGGGGTTTAAAAAAAATAAGGATAGCCCGCAGGAGGAGCGTGGGAGAAGGTTAAGAATGTAATCAAAGGAAATTCGTCAATCGTGAATGCATATCCAAGCACCCGGTGTAGCGGCCGATGTGGTCAGTCCTGTTGCGCCCAACTCCAATACCAAAGCCTTGTTGACCCCAACTCCAGCCAACGCCAATGCTACTCATCGTCGTCATCATCAACGAAGAAGCCCCAAAAGAGGACCTCTTCGTTTTCGCATCCTTGCAGACGGCCGCGGTATATATCTGCGCACATTTCAATGGGCACCTCGAGCTTGATGCAGCCGTTGCCGAGAAAGGTAAAAAGCAACCAAGAGTCGTACTGGGGCAAGGCACCGTTGTCCTCGGGCTTTCTGCTGAGTATGCCGCGATTTTGGAGAGAGGGCCCGGTGGGGAGACGGAATGTGTGGTAGGGCAGCGTCTCCTCCGAGTCGGCGACGAAGAAGGAATCGTTGAGGGCAAGCTCAACCGAGACCCTGGACGGCTGCGACTGGTCTTGCGAGGCTGTGTGGGTGTGTTGGGCGGGCGAGTTGTTGTGAAAGCGCAGAGTACCGAAGCGCAGATAGGCGGGCTGGCCCAGAAGGTCAAAGAGCTCTGTCGAGTAGAGGCGGAAGTAGCCATTGTATAGGGAGCCCAGGCGGCTGCCGTCGTCGGCATCGGCATCGGCATCGGTGTCGGCGTCTAGGGTGCCATTGAGAGAGAGGGACTGCAGTTGGTCCTCGACTCGTTTCCCCTCGAGTTCGGCGGCGTCGAGGGAGCGGCGGATGTAGGTGGGGGTGTACTTGTTGCTCAGATGGGAAATGGCCAGCCGGCAGGCCTCACGGCGGACGCGGTCGCTCGAGGCGTCCTTGAGATGTAATGTGTCGGCAACGGTGCCGTCTTGGCCGTCGGCGAGCGAGCGTAGCAAGCCAGCCTCGAAACTGTCGACGAGCTCCTCGAACTCACACATGACCCGGGCAAGGGGCGAGGAGTGGGGTGCGGGGGATTTGGCGTCGCGCGCGGGTCGGTCGCTCTTGAGGAGGGCCATGAGGGGGGGAAGCCCGAGGGCGGTCGAGGGCGTAGTCACGGAGGGACAGGAGCGAGGGCGTGGAGATGTGAGGGGTGGGGATGGAGCGGTGGCTCGGGGGGTGCAAGACCGGCTGGCACTGGTGAGCAGGTGGTGGTGGTGGTTGTGGTGGTGGTAGAGGTGGTGGCAGAGGTGGAGGTGGAGGCGATGGTGGTGTGTAGTCGGGCGGACGGGGCAGCAGAGTAACAGACAGGAACAGTAGCAGTAGGGGTATGGGCAGGGAGGGCGGCCGTGCAATTCGTGAAAAAAAGGGTCTTGTAAATCGGCCGTTAGTGGTGACGGGCAAGTCGCCAAACAACAGCAGCAGCAGCAGCAATGGCGGCCTGGACGTGCATCAGGATCAGGGGACAAAGGGCTGGGGGACGTGGAGCGAGGCAGCACGAGATTTTGACGCGGCTCGCATGCGCCAAGAAGCTGGGATAGATGCTTCCTCTTCCAGTCTTCCAGCCCGCCGGCCTGCGCTACTGCATCCCCGGCCAATCACCGCCGCCGCACTCGCTGGTGGGCGATGCGCTGCGAGGGCCGCCTGCGTGCAGCGACTCGCCCTGGCCGGCTGGCGGGCAATGGGCAATGGGCAATGGGCAATGGGCAATGGGGCTGCAGCGGCCAACCGTCGCATCCAGTCAACGGGCGGCCGGCGAGCGAGCGAGGGGTGTGTGTGTGTGTGGTTGCCAGTGTGCGAGGTGTACATGGTACATGGTGCATGGCTAGTCGATGGACAGGAGCATGTGTGCGTGTGCGTGTGCGTGTGTGAGAGAGAGTGTGTGGTGTGCATCGACAAGACCCAGGCGCCGCTCGTTCTCTTTGTGGAGCCAGCGAACCACGCTGCCGGTAGCCAATCACGCCGCCCCAGTAACCGGCCCGTATCGAATTGGCTGGGGCGGGCCGATGAGACGAGACACGCACTCGACCTGGGCGGCTGGCCCGGCCACGACGAGCTTGCCGACGGCGGCAACACACGCACACACTCACCAAAGGCCCACGACGGGTTCCCTCTGGTACCAAGCACGCTGCCTCGGGGTCGAGCAGCCTGTATCTGCATCATGTGGGTACTGTAGTATCCAAGCATGCACACACGGGGACACGCTATGCAAAGGCGGCACGACAACAACAGCCAGTGTCCTCAGCTTCACTCGTCCACGCCCAGCTTGGCCACGCGCATCCTCACCCCAAAGGCATCCCAATGTCTCGGGAGCCGGCTGTACGTCGGCAGCCCATGTGTACCTGCCTCCGCAACGTCATCCGCCCCTTCCCATCCGCACCCCGTCGCCTCGCCTCGCCTGCGAGCGAGTGTGGGTGCAATCTTCAGCCTGGCTCTGTTCTTCGCATTCGCCCCAGCTTGCATGTCGACACACGGTTACGTCACTGCTGGCCCCTCGTCCAGCTGCTGGCTCGTCTGCAGCCATGCTACTTGTAGACACGGGTTGGCCCTTGACCCCACGTCTGACGAATCATCCGACATGATGACTGATGTCGCATCCCGACGGCCCCATGTGTCCATGTCGTCCTGTTGTCGACCTCAATCCTCACAGCCTGCGCAAGCCAGCACCACCTCCTGACGGACCTGCTCTTCCCCACACTTGCACACAAACCAACAAACATGCCCACGCTCACTCTCACCCCCTCCCATGCCTGCCCTCTGCCGACCACGCACGTGAGAAATGGCGCCATATCCCCCAGCTACATCGCTTCTAGTATCATGACTACCACCCCCACCACTGAGACCAAGGCCATATCTGCCCTTGCTTGCACAGGGTCAGCCCGGCTTTCCCCATCAACAGCCCGTGGCCATAGGCCCACACGCCCAGCTTCCAGCACAGAGCCATCGTTCATGTGCCATCGTCTCCCGTCCCACGCTCCTCGTTGGTCTTTCTCATGGCCCCCCTTGTCCATATGCCATCAGATGGCCCTGCTTGCCGGCCCTCTTTTCTCAACCCGGCAAACTTCTCCTCTTGCCATGTCAGGTCCATGTGCCGTCTTGTGCATCCCCAACTCTATTCGACTGCACTGCACTGCATGTACCAATCTGACTGAGCAACAGCTTCTAACAACACGGTCACACTCCTATTTCACTACGTCCTTTTTATATAAGAAAAAGAGAAAAAACAATTTCGTCAAAAATTCAAACCACGCTTGCGAAACAATCCCGCCTGTCACACAATCGCTGCATAGTGCTTGAGCGTCCGTGTCTGGATACCAGCCGACGACGAAGACGACGCCCTGCCAGCAGGCACCATATATGTTTTGTAGTCCAGTACATCCGTCATCCAATTGTCCGCATCGATGCTCGCCATGGCGTGGTTGAGCAGAGCCAGTTGATCACTGTGACGAATGAATCATTATGACGATCAAAGATTCTCTTTCTTTGTTCTTCTTCTTTCTTGCTTGTTTGCTTGTTTGCCTGATTTCAACTTGTTCTCTTCCAAACAAAACAAAACAAAAAAGACCTTTGTACATATAGACAAGATAGCAAAATGAAAAGAGTACGGACAAATTTACCTTTTGGTAAACCGCTTGACGAGCTCGAGATCACGCTCGTGCTGACCGGCTATAGTGTAGAACCAGTAGTTGCCTGCCTTCTTCCACCACCGGTTCGGCAGGTATGCTTCACTAACATGTCAAGTCAGCGCCCAAACAATCTGTCCAACCAAGTGGCCCTGTACACGTACAGCATGTAATACTCATCCCTTTGATACGGAAACTCCAGGCTCGGTGGTCCAGGCTTGGCTAGAAACGCATCCGTTCCCGATGCTGCCTCTGCTGCCGTCATTTCCACGTGCATTCGCCGGTTACCTGTGTTCCTCGAGTGTCGCCGTATAGCCCGCACCGTGCTGTCAAGGTGCAGTGCCAGGATGGCAGCGTGCCACAGCGAGTTTTCAACCGCTTTGCGCGCAATGCGGCCGTGGCGCGCAACAAGCTCCCGGTTCCATTCTGGCCATTGTCCGCGCGGTATCGTGGGTATTGGAATGCCAGTGTCAAGATGGCCTTGCCAATGTGCAAAGTCGAGTACCAGCCCGAGATTGTTCCAGGTCAGAATGCATGTCAGACACGTACACACCTGGTGCGCATCCGGAGACTGGATGTGCTGGTACGGTCGGTTGTGTATGCTGAGTTGCGTCTGCCGCCCGGGGTCGGTGAGAAGAGCCTGCACAGCTGGATCGACGTCGCTGAGGAGCTTGGGTGTGGGAAAGCATTCCACAAGGATGCTGTAGCGGCGCGCTATGATGGCATCGCCAATGACATGCGCATTCACCTCGACCAGCTCGTGCAGTCGCCGATTAACAAAGCTGACGTTGAACACATCGCGCGGACAAACGTGTTTGAGGCATTCTAGCAGTAGTTCCGTCGGCAACTTTGAGAGATTGACAATCGCTTCACGCTTCTGCTGTCGCGCTGCATTCTTACGCTTCAGGCGCTCCGTCTTCTTGTTCTTGAGTGCAAGCACTGCCGTATTGTCCTCAAGCGGCCCGTCATCGTCGCTGTCATAATTTCGTGCCATCTTTCAGGATGAGGTGTAGTTGTCTAGCAGTGACGGCATAGTGTGCCGCTGAGTTGCGGGGGCGCATGCGCCAACCAATCGGAGATAACCGGCTTCCGACTGCCTGATGCCAGATGCTTTCTCTCATGACACAGCCGTTGCTGGCATAAAAGGCTCCACCGCTCTATCTTTTAGGTGGTGTACAGCTACAAATATATAAAGAATCAATGCGAAAAAAACGAATTTGTTAGACTACTATAAGTGCTAAGTATCGTTGGCAAAACTAATCAAAACGAGCAGATACTTCAACTCAAGCCGTGATCATCATGCCCCCCCCCCCCCACCTGCCCATTTCTTGCCCGTGAAACCCTTGATATTTTGCAACTCGTCTTACTGCACAATTGCACAATCGACCAGATGGGTTCCAAGCTAGGAAATGGGCATATCAGTCTACAGTCTCTCCGTGTGAAACACACGCCTTCACCTTTGCCAAACAGCTTTGTCATCTCGCCACGAAGCATCTCTCGTGGGCGAACATGCAACCTGTGGCCCACGTTTTGCGGGGACCTGATTGGTCACTTCTCAAGCACATCGGCCAAACTTGTAGATGGCGTCATGTTTCATTTCTAAGCAGCGGAAGTGGTCGGACGCACATAAAGTCTACCTTCACACGTTCCTCTTCTCACACGTCACTAAACCTCCATACACCCAACATGACAACGGCTGGCTTTTTTCACATTGACAAAAACTCTTATACGGGCAAGCCCTGGGCCAAGGTAGACGGGCCAGGCTCAAACTTCACCCAACAATGGCACGAGCGCTCCGTACACAACCTTCGTGGCCGTGAACACGAGTTTAACACCGACAACGCTGGGTTCGCAGTCTACCAATACCCCGCTAAAGAGAAACTCTTCACCGACGACGCTGCTGTCCGAGGTGGATATTACAGCGAAGTCGAATCTTTGCTGCGAGAAAAGCTTCCTGGAATCAAGAAGGTCGTCATATTCGACCACACCATCCGAAGACGAGACAAAAACTCTCCTCGCCAACCAGTCCAGCAGGTTCATGTTGACCAGACACCTGCTGCGGCAGAAGTACGTGTCCGCCGGCACTTGCCAGCCACAGAAGCCGAGGAGCTCCTCAAAGGCCGCTACCAAATCATCAACGTTTGGCGACCCATTGGCCACACTGCTTCCGATCATCCACTCGCCGTGATTGACTGGCGCACAACATCGCCCTCTGATTTCGTCGCCAGCGATCTCCTGTACCCCAAGCGCGCAGACTCATTGGACTTGGACGACCGCGGCAAGGAAAAATTGCCGGATCCCAACAACTACACTTCTACAGAAGGCTACGAGGCCAGGGGCGAAACACTAGCTGTAGCCCCAAACGACAAGCACAAGTTTTACTACCAAAAGGACATGACGCCTGACGAGGTGATGCTGCTCAAGTGCTTTGACAGCTTCGGCGAGGGTATGCCCTTGGGAAAAAAGGGCCTCTCAGTACGAACGCCACATACAGCTTTTGTAGACCCCAATACACCTGCAGATGCACCGGGACGACAGAGCATCGAGGTTAGATGCTTGGTGTTTTACGAATAAGTAGTCCATGGTATCGAGCACACATGTCGAAGCAAAATACGAATTTCAAGTAATAAAGCGAAGATTTATTTTTAATAAAAGGGGAAAAAAAAACCAACTACCATAAACCAATGACTTCTGCCTCATTTACAGAATCAAAGATCAAGTTCCACATTCCATATTTTGAGAAGAGAGGGGGAAAAGGGGGGGGATAGCCAACACGTGACATTGGTGTACAATAATACTTGTATCCACTGTACCTGCATCAAACTATGTAACCAT